TTTGGGTTTCCTGAAGGTCAATCTAGCTTTCTTTTTGATGACCCTCTGGATTTTGAAAAGCAAACTCTCTTCGCTCAACAGTGATGTGTCCACCCTCAAGAATACAAGGTAAAATGGAGACGAGGGTGACAACCTCACAGACATGTGTGGTCCCAAGGGCATATCCATGAGGTACAGCAGCTCTCACGTCCCTTCTCTTAGTCTTCTGAGGAAACCCAGAGTAAAGAGATGCAGCTGTCCTCCAATGGCAGCCAGCTTGGACTCAGTGGTGGGCTGCTGACTTTCCAGCCCCAATGTTCTGTCTCTAATCCCATTTTGTAACTCCCTCAACCACTGAAAGGATTGACATTGGTTGATAAACATTCTTAGGACTTTTATCAGCAGTGCTACAACAAAAGTACAGAGAACCTGTGTGCCCTTAGAAAAATCTGATTCCTCCCACAACCCCTCTACACTTCCATACCCAGTGTCCTTTCTACATTTTGCATGTCATTATTCTGTTGTGTTAGCCATTGGAACAGCCTGGGACCCTTATGAAAATAGAAATCTTGCCTCTGATGCTTTTAATACCCAGGCCCAGCACTGCCTAATGCGCAGTACAGACTCAGTAATGTTGGTTGAATAAAATTAGGCATCACCAGGGAGCATTACAGAATTTTTTTTTGAAACTTATGTTATAAAGTGTCACTACTCAGTTCAATCAAAATGTCATTCTGGACCCAAGTAGCACTTCTATTGTGGAGAGTCATTGACAGTCAAGGTCAAAGCTGAACACAACTCTGTCTGTGAACTCATCACCCATTGGAGAAGACAGGAGCATTCATTGAGTGGAGATGAGAATGGCCTTGATTCTGTTGCTCTGAGTGCACCATGGACCTCTCTTCTCCTCCTACCCAGGATGCTGACATTTAAAGCGATAGCTCAGCTCTGCATCTTGGGCTGCACGTGGTGTCTGGGAATCCTGCAGGTGGGTCCAGCTGCTCACGCCATGGCCTATCTCTTCACCATCATCAACAGCCTGCAGGGCGTCTTCATCTTCCTGGTGTACTGTCTCCTCAGCCAGCAGGTACCACTGTCCACCTCCCGCCCATGACTCTTTCCATTCTTACCGCTCTCAGAGAGCTGACTCAGAACATGCTTTGCCTTGCAGGTCCGCCAACAGTACAGAAAATGGTGGGAAGGGGTCAGGAAAACCAAAGCAGAGTCTGAGCAATACACCTTCTCCAGCCGAGCCATCTCGGATGCCCCCAAGCACAGTGAGGTAAGGTCATGCATTGCTCCCAGAGCATTTTACTAATTGATAGAGTACGTCATGCCCAACTCACTGACGACCTGGGTTTACAGCAGGTGATGCCCTAGGATGGCTCCCACTGAATTTACCCTTTGATTCCTTAACCATTAACAATGGTCTCAGTGAGAATATACATATTCATATATATATGTGGCTCTTACTCGTGAGAAAATGTGTTCATCTTGACTTTAACACATTAGTACCTTTTTTTAAAAAAATAATAAAAGTATCCTTAGTTGTATTATATTTAAAATATATAATATCATTTTAGGCTTATAAATATGGACCTTGTACATTAAACCATAAAGATATGTACATATTTCTCCTTTCTCTGATTGATATTTATTTTGAAGTATTATATGTCTTAAATTTCATTTTCTTTTTTTTTAATTCTTTGTTTAGTATTACAGGAGTCTTCCTTAACCTCTCCCTCAACATCCCCTCAGCCAAGCATCAGCCCTCATGCTCCTCCTGTCCATGTCTATTGGTTTTACTCATATAAATGCACACAAGACCTTTGGTTGATCTTTTACCCCACTGCCCCCGCCTTCCCTCATAGGTTGTTCAATGTTTTTTTGTCTCGGATTCTATTTTTGTTCAGCAGTTTAAGTTCCTCATTATATTCCACAAATGAGTGAGATCATGTGATACTTATCTTTCTCTGACTGGTTTATTTCACTTAGCATAATGCTCTCTAGTTCCATCCATGCTGTTGCAAATGATAAGAATTCCTTCTTTTACAGCAGCATAGATGTCCTTTGTGCAGATGTACCAGTTTTCTAATCCACTCATCTGCTGAAGGGCACTTAGGCTGTTTCCAAATCTCTGCTGTGGTAAATTGTGCTGCTATGAACATAGGAGTGCATATATCCTTTCTGATTGCTGTTTCTGTTTTCTTGGGATATAGTCCTAGAAGTGGTATTTCTGAGTCAAATGGCAGTTCCATTTTTTTATTTTTTTGAGGAAACACCATACAGTTCTTCACAGTGGTTGCACCAGTCTGCATTTCCACCATCAGTACACATGTGTTCCTTTTTCTCCGCATCCTTTCCAGCACTTGTCATTTGTTGATTTGTTGATGATAGCCATTCTGACAGTGTGAGATAGTACCTCATTGTTGTTTTGATTTGCATCTCTAGGATGACTAGTGACTTTGAGCATCTATACTAATAAAAGAGTAATATGCAAATTGGTCACAACACCCTCACAGTAACAACGGAAAACAGGCTGACAGTGACCAGGCTGGCAGGGGGGCAGTGAGGGGCAATCAGACCAGCAGGGGTGGCAGTGAGGGGTGACCGGGCCACCAGGGGGCAGTTGGAGACAACCAAGACATCAGGGTGGACTGTAAGGGGCAACAAGGCCAGCAGGGGGGGTGCAGTTAGGGGCAATCAGGCAGACAGGCAGCTGAGCAGTTAGAAGCCAGTGGTTCCAAATTATGAGAAGGATGTCCAACTGCTGGTTTCACCCAATCCTTAGCATAGGGTAAAAACTGGCATTCAGTCATCCCCTGAGGGGTCCTTGATTGGGGAAGGTGCAGGCTGGGCTGAGGGGACCCCCTCCCCCATGTAGAAATTGTGTGCACTGGGCCTCTAGTGTTCTCTTATGTCTCTGGGCTTTCTGAATGTCCTCTTTTGAAAAGTGTCTATTTAGGTACTTTGCCAATTTTTTATTGGACTGTTTATCTTCCTTTTGTTAAGGTGTATGAGTTCCCTGTAATTTTGGAGATTAAAACCTTTATCAGAAATAACATTGGCAAATATGTTCTCCCATGCAGTGGGCTTTCTTGTTGTTTTTCTGTGCAGAAGCTTTTCATTTTGATGTAGTCCCATTTGTTTATTTTCTCTTTACTTTCCATTGCCCTTAGAGCTGTATCAGTAAAGACATTGCTATGACAAATGTCTGCTATTTTGCTGCCTATGGCTTCTTCTAAGATATTTATGATTTCCCATCTTACATTTATTTATCCATTTTCACTTTATTTCTGTGTATGGTGTAAGTTGGTGGTCTAGTTTCATTTTTTTTGCAAGTATCTGTCCAGTTTTCCCAACATGCCATTTATTGAAGAGACTGTCTTGTTTCCATTGTATGCTCTTGCCTCCTTTATCAAATATTAATTGAGCATAATGGCTTGTGTCAATATCTGGGTTCTCTTTTTTGTCCACTGGTCTATATGTCAGTTCTTGTACCACTACCAGACAGTTTTGAGAACAGTGGCTTTGTAATATAGTTTGATATCTGGTATTGTGATCCCTCCAATATTGTTCTTCTTTCTCAAGATTGCTTCAGCTATTCGGGGTCTTTTTTTATTCCAGGTGAATTTTGGGAGAATTTGTTCTATGTCTTTGACGTATGTCATTGGTATTTTAATGGGGATTGCATCCTACCTAATAAAAGAGTAATATGCAAATTAACCATCACTCTGCTACACCCACAAGCCATGCCCACCAGCCATGTCCACCAGCCAAACAGAGCAAGTATGCAAATAAAACCAACTAAGATGGCTACAGCCACAGAGAGCCACTGGGAGGCTTGGGTTTCTCAGGCAATGGAAGAGACCAAGCTTTCTGCCTGCCCTTGCCAGCCTAGGCCTCCACTCACGGCTACAAAGTTTCAATTATAGAAGGTAAACAAATCCAAACAGAAATGACAGCAGCCACGAAGCTGACAGAAGGCTTGGCTCTGCTCCAGGCTACAAAGTTTCAATTGTAGAAGGTAAATAAATTCCACCTACCAGGGCCTCCACTTGGGTCACCAGGGGCCGTGGCTGGCCTGCAAACCACCACAGGCCCCTCGTTCAGGCTGCCCCACGCCCTAAGGGAACCCTCACCCTGATCCAAGACACCCTTCAAGTCAAACCAGCTGGCCCCCACCCGTGCACTAGGCCTCTATCCTATCTAATAAAAGAGTAATATGCAGATTGACCATCACTCCAATACACAATAGCTGCCCCCATGTGGTGAAAAATCCTGCCCCCATGTGGACACAAGATGGACACCATAAGATGGCCAGAAGGGGAGAGCAGTTGGGTGGCACCAGACCTGCAAGGGAGGGCAGTTGAGAAGGACCTACCAGGATCGGGCCTAAATGGGCAGTCGGACATCCTTCAAGGGGTCACAGATTGGAGAGGGTGCAGGCTGGGCTGAGGGACACCTCCCCTCCCTCCGGGTCCACTGCATGAATTTCCTGCACCAGTCTCTAGTTAAATTTATGAATTGCTTTGGGTAGTATGGACATTGTAATGATGTTATTTCTACTCATCCATGAATGTGGTATATTCTTCCATTTATGATGTCTTTCTCTATCTTTTTTTTTTTTTTTTTTTTTTTTTTTTTAGCATACTGGATATTTTCTGAGTATATCTTAATTTTTTTTGTTGCAATGGTAAATGAGATTACTTTTTTAAAAATATATTTTATTGGTAGTTTACAGAGAGTAAGGGAGAGGACTAGAGAGTTAGAAACATCAATCAGCTGCCTCCTTCACACCTCCTACTGGGGATGTGCCTGCAACCAAGGTACATGCCCTTGACCGGAATTGAACCTGGGACATTTTTGTCTGCAAGCCAACACTCTATCCACCGAGCCAAACCAGTTAGGGCAAGAGATTACTTTTTTTGATTTCTCTTTCTGTGAGTTCATTATTGGTGTATAGAAAACCATAGACTTCTGGGTGTTAATTTTGTACCCTGATACACTGTCAAATTCACTTATTAATTCCAGTAGTTTTTTCATGGAGTCTTTGGAGTTTTCTATGTACAATATTATGTCATCTGTGAATAAGAACCATTTCACTTCCTCTTTTCCAATTGGTTGTCTTTATTTCTCCTTCTTGTGTGATTGCAATGGCTAGTACTTCCAATACTATGTCAAACAGGAGTGGTGAGCGTGGGCATCCCTGTCTTGTTCCTTTTCTTAGGGGAAATTGGTTTAGTTTTTTTCCCATTGAGTGGGTTTGTCATATATGGCTTTTATTATGTTAAGGTATGATCCTTCTATTCCTGTCTTGCTGAGAGTTTTTATCAAAAAAGGGTGTTGGATTTTGTCAAATGCTTTTTCTGCATCAATGGATATGATTATATGATTTTTATCTCTAAGTTTGTTTATGTGGTGTGTCACATTTATTGATTTGAGGATATTGTATCATCCTTGCATCCCCGGAATTAATCCGGTCATGGGGTATGATCCTTCTAATGTAATGCTGTATTTGATTTGCTAGAATTTGTTGAAGTTTTGGAGTCTATGTTCATGAGGGATATTAGCCTGCTATTCTCTTTATTTGTATTGTCTTTATCTAGTTTTGGTATTAGGGTAATGAGCTTGGAATTGTTCCTTCCTCTTAAATACTTTTGGAATAGTTTGAGGAAAATAGGTTTTATTTCCTCTCTGAATGTTTAATAAAACTCCCCTGTGAAGCAATCTGGTCTGGGGATTTTGTTTGTGGGAAGTTTTTGATTACTGCTTAAATTTCTTCCATAGTTATTGGCCTATTCATATTTTTTTATTCCTCCTAGTTGAGTTCTGTAGGTTCTTATTTTTATAGGAGCATGTCCATTTTTTCTAGGTTGACCAGTTTATTGGAGTAAAATAGCTCATGGTATTTTTTTAATATATTTTATTGATTTTTTACAGAGAGGAAGAGAGAGGGATAGAGAGTTAGAAACATCGATGAGAGAGAAACATCGATCAGCTGCCTCTTGCACACCCCCTACTGGAGCTGTGCCCACAACCAAGGTACACGCCCTTGATCGGAATCGAACCTGGGACCTTTTGGTCCACAGGCCGATGCTCTATTCACTGAGCCAAACTGGGTTTTGGTGCTCATGGTATTTTTTTATGATTCTTCATATTTCTGTGGGGTCTGTTGTTATTTCACCTTTTTTGTTTCTGATTTTGTTTATTTGTGCTCTCTCTCTTTGCTTCTTAGTGAGGCTGACTAGAGAATCATCAATCTTGTTTATCTTTGTGCCCAGATGGCTCGGTCTCCATCAACCCCTCCTGAGCCAGGCTGCCATCTTCATGTCTGAACCACTGCAATACTCTTCTGTCTGGCTACCCCTTCCTACTCTTGTTACCTTCCAATGCCTCTATACACAGAAGTCAGAGGATCCTTTCAAAACACAAATGAAATCATGCTATTCCTGTGTTAAACCTGTTACGTGTACTTTTTGTTGTGTTCAGTTCTGAATAATTTCCTGAAGTACAGTATTTATAAACTTCTTTCTTGTTGAATTTTGGATGGTATTGGTTTAAAAATACAGGCAAGTTTCAAGTGCACAACTAAATAAAACATCATCTGCACACTGCATCTTGTGCTCACTGCCCAAAGCAAAGTCTCTTTACATCCATGTATTGCTACTTTGCCCAACTCCACCTCTCCCCAGCTACCTTTCCCTCTGCTATCACCATATTTTTGTCCATATTTATATGTCATATGTATATATTTTGCTTAATCCCATCACCTTTTTCCACCCAGCTCCCTAAAACCCCTCCCACCTGACAGCTGCCAACCTGTTATATGTATCTATGCTTCTGTTTCTATTTTGCTAAATTATTTTGTTGATTAGATTACACATATAAGTGAGATCATATGGTATTTGTCTTCTTATTTTACTTTTCAAAAGCATAGTCATCTTCTGAGGTCCTGAGAATTAGAATTTCAACATATGAAATTTGAGGGGATATAACTCAGCCAATAATAATGCTTAACATGGATGAACCTCTAAAACATGCTAAGTAAAGAATTCAGACACAATGGTTATATATTAGACAATTCTATTTATATGAAATATCCAGCATAGATAAGTCTGTGGAGACAGGCAGTAGGTTAGTGGTTGCCGGGATTGGAAGAGGGTCATGGGAAATGACTACCTAACGAGCATGGATTCTTCTTTGAGGTGATGAAAATGTTTTGGAACTAGATAGAAGGCTGAATGCATATCACAAATGTACTAAATGCCACTAAATTGTACACCTTAAAATGCTTTAATGTATGCCATGTGAATTTCATATATAAGTCTATAAATTTTATATTTAGTGAAAGTATGTGTGTTTATGTGTACACAAAAAGATAAATCAATGTGGCAAAAGAATAACTGGTAAAGGTACATGGATGTTCCTCAAACTGCCATAGGTCTGAAATTTTATAAGTAAAAAATTTAGATAAACTAAGAAAAGACTTGATATTTTAATTATAATTTATTTATTTTTAGCCATTCCCATCATTTTAGTTTTATCTCTTTCCCAGGTAAAAGGTGATGGATTAACAGAATAAAAGAAGAAATCAAGTCAATTTTAAGAAAACTAAAAGTGGGTGACTAAAGAAAAAGGTGAAATCTTGGGCTTTTCATCCTTTTCTCTCTGACTTATTTCACTTAACATAGTACTCTCCTGAATGATGTTGTTGCACATGTCAATATTTAATCTTTTTGATGATTGAGTAGTATTCCATTGTATATATGTACCACATTTTTGATCCATCTGTCAATGGACACATAGGTTGTTTACGTACCTTGGCTATAAGAAATGGTGTTACAATGAACATAAGTGTATATATATTTTTGAATTGGATTTTTTATATTCCTCAGATACTCAGAAGAAAAATTGCTGAATTGTGTCAAATTACATATTATGTTAACATTATGACATATAATGTTATTTATCAATGCTACCTCAATATTAGATAATTAAATAAATAAATAAATAAATAAGAAAAATATGGGTATATTCCTCCCTGGTTAAATTTTCCCCAGTAGAATGCAGTTTTCTTGTGATAATGCTTAAACTTCCTATATCTCTCAATATAAATATTTTCTGGCTCATGATTACACAGAAAAATGTTATACCTTGAGCTAAATACATGATTTCAAGTAAAACAATGTATAGAAAAAGTGGCCCAAAAGAAAACAAAGGTAAGTGTGTGTCTCAGATGTTGTTGGTGCTAAGAGAGATCATCATAACATCACACTCAATGTCAGTCATTCCTTATTATTGTGTGCTTCTCCTGAACTGGTTTCCTCAGGACCTTCTACATTTTGCCAAAAGCAAAGGTTCTTTTCTACAATTAGTCAGTCCTCCAAAAATTGAGGAAATAAAAAGAAAATCTTGGAAATATAAGCAATGGAGTAGAAATATGACTTCTTACCAAACAACGATTAACAACTATGTTCATTTAGAAATCAATAGGAAGCAATGTTTTAAATATTTTATATCCTAACATGATATTTTATTACTGACATAAATTTTTAATTGGTTTTGGCTATATTTCAGGAAATTGATGAAGATATATAATACAATCCTTTCCATTTAAAATAATGGACTATAGAGTCAAAATAAACAGTTTTGTGTGCATCTGCTTTTTAGGAATAACTGCCATTAAGCAGTAAGTACCTGAATTAAGAAAATGTTCATGTTCATAGCATATGGAAAAGGCAAAAAATATGAAGGTGTACGCAAAAAATTAATAATTGAGGCACACATCTAGAGTATTAACAGTTACTTTGCCATTTTTTTCTCTTAGCCTGTTCTGAAAACAACATGAATCAGTTACAAATAAGTTTAACCGTGACTTGTTCTCTCTGTCCATCCATCCATCCATCCATCCATACCCATCCATCATCTTTGAAGCAAGTCAACATATGGGGTGTTGAGAATAACCACTGCCCACTTCTCCTTATCTTAATTTTTCTTTCCAAATTTCTGCCTGCTCCAGCCCTTCCTGTGTGATACACATTGTTTTGTCCATGTGCCTTGGCTACCAGTTACACAAAAATGAATATAGCAGGTTCCTTGCCATCAAGGCGCTCATAGTCCATGGCAGTGTTTCTCAAAATGTGGTGAATGAACTGGTATTGGCCCTTGAGGAAAAAAGAAGCTTGGGATAGACTGTAAATCAACAACATCACTAAGCTTTAGTTCAACAGACATGTATTCCATAACAAGATTTTATCATCAAAGGAAGCAGTGTGTTGTGTAACTTTCTCATGCAAGCACCTGCTCTCCATTCAGACTGTCACCGCTGCTCTGAGTACTGGTCTAGAGTCTTCTTGCAAAGTAGATTTCATGGCAAATGTCAAAAGCAATGGATAAGGCCTACCTGTATGGTTCTGTTGATGTTGAGGAGAGAGACAATGGCTTTGGTCTCAGAGACATTGTGAAAATGCTGCACAGCTGGCTTTGAAGATGGAAGAAGGAGTGTGAGTGAAGGGATGCAGGCTACCAGCAACACTAGCAGGCATTAGGAAGAAACAGAACCACTCCTGAGCCTCTAGAGCCATGGTCCTCAACCTTCCTATTGCTTCGACCCTTTAATACAGTTCCTCATGGCTGAAACTGGTTTGGCTCAGTGGATAGAGTGTCAGCCTGCAGACTGGAAGGTCCCGGGTTCGATTCCAGTCAAGGACATATACCTTGGTTGCGGGCACATCCCCAGTAGCAGGTGTGCAAGAGGCAGCTGATTGATGATTCTCTCTCATCGATGTTTCTAACTCTATCCTTCTCTCTTCCTCTCTGTAAAAAAATCAATAAAATACATTAAAAAAAATACAGTTCCTCATGTTGTGGTGACCGCCAACCATAAAATTATTTTCATTGCTACCTCATAACTGTAATTTTGTTACTGTTATGAATCGTAATGTAAATATCTATGTTTTCCGATGGTCTTAGGTGACCCCTATGAAAGGGTCGTTTGACTTCCCAAAGGGGTCATGACCCACAGGTTGAGAACCGCTGCTCTAGAAAGACCCCAGACTGCATACCTCTCGATATTAGTCAGTGAGATTCATTTCAAACTTCTGACCACCACACTGTACTAATATACGTTTCTTTGTTTTAAACAACTAGCATGGGAATACTTACAGCAGCCATAGGACTCTAATAGAGACATTTATTCAATAACATTTGTCTAAGGCACATGTGTCAAACACAAGGCCCATGGGCCAAATCTGTCCCGCCAGGCCTTGCAATGTGGCCCGCACCGCGCTGTCATCACTGCACTCCGCTGCGTTTCCATCACAATGACAGTTTATGACTGTTCAGTAAACCATTCGGCCCGGGATTTAGGCTGGATTTTAGATTTTGGCCCCTTCTCTGATTGAGTTCGACACCCCTAGTCTAAGGAAACTGAGTTTAAGCCTCTTCATTCATTGGTCCATTGGGTATGAGAATTTTATGTTAACGACACACATGAAGTAGAAAATAAATTTTAACCAGATATTCAGCTGGTATAGTGAAGGCCTCACAGCATAAATGAAAACAGACTGTGCTGCCTCTGTGCCATTAAGAGTTAGGGTACAATGAGTGACCTCTATTTCTCCATCTACATAACTATAGTGACTTGTTTCTCAACACCCTATATCTTTGCCTAGAAGTTGGCCAGTCCTCAATTCATATTCCACAAGAACATGACAGACTTTCTCATTAAAAGTAGAGAACGCATGACCACTGGGGGAAAGGCTGAGGGTGGGATAGGAATTCCTACTAATTGTTAAAATAAAGAAAATAAATGGCAACCAATCCAAGAATATATGCATCCTTTCCAATAATAAAATAATTCAAAGTAACACTATTTAGTATTCCTCTTTAGGCTTATTAAATATTTTCTTATATAAATCCCCAGCATGAGAAAAGATACTGCAATAAATGTCTCAGGAACTGCTCTGCCATCTACCTCCACTGGTCAGAAATTTTATCAAAAAACATGCTCAAATATACAACATCATTGAAATTTAATGCAAGCACTTTCTGTCCACTGCACTGTTCATCCCACCTAATATCCAATTACCTCCTCCCTGGAAAACAAATCTCTGATACATTTTCATTTTACTGCAATCACTTTATGCATCTTCCTCATCCTACAGTGTCAGTCAATTGTATATGCGTACCCATCACTTAATTGTCAACTTGTAGTGCAGAATCAATCAAACACATCTTTCTTAATGAGCTCAATTAATTACATATTGTTAACTAGGAGTGCAGACAGAATGATCTCTTGTCTCTGGGCTAGGCTGTTGGTGCTCTCAGGTGACTCAGGTAAAAGCTGACAGATTCCATCCTCTCTGACCCTCTCCTGATGTACCTACTGGTCTCCCAGACTCATGGGGTCTTGAGAGGAAGGTCTCCGTGTGGAAGTCTGAATTGCTCCCTGGATGGTTGATGATGGAGACTGAAGCTCTGCCCCATACAAGACATCAGGAAGGAGTGGAGCATCAGTTCCTGAGCCAGCTTTGGAATCAAAAGCAACAGCCATGCCCTGCCTGCCAGTGCTGTATAGGCTGTGGACTGCACAGGGGGGATATTTACAGCTTATCAGGCACATTTCCCTCATGTTTTTCCAATATGTAAGCACATGATTTCACTCTGGGCCTCTGGAAAAACAAAAGAAATTTTTCCTAATGATTCTCTGGTCCCAAAAGGCCACGGTGGAAGTCGTTAATTCAGTTCTTATGACTCCTTGTCTTAACCTCACATGCTTTCTATTACCCTATCCAGTGGTCGGCAAACCGCGGCTCATGAGGCACATTCAGCTCTTTGGCCCCTTGAGTGTGGCTCTTCCACAAAATACCACGTGAAAGCACTCACATACAGTGAGATTGAAGTTTCGTGTCCCAAGGGCAGAAGTTGGTTTCCGGCCTGGGCGAGTCTATTTTGAAGAAGTGGCATAAGAACACTCAAGGGGCCAAAGAGCCGCAAGTGGCTCACGAGTCGCAGTTTGCTGACCGCTGCTAGAGTAGTGGCCTGAGCCTCCCTCTGTGGGGAAATCCTGGGGAGATGGAGGGAGCCCTGACTAATCACAGCACACCCACCGTGCCTTGGACTTCCAGTTCTATGCTGGATAAGAGCGGTGAAAGTGGACATGATGTTTTGTTCCTGGTTTTAAGTGAAACGCTTTTAGTTTTTGCTAATTTAGCATGATGTTGGCTGTAGATTTGTCATAAGCAACCTTTATTTTATTGAAGAATGTTCCCTATATTTCCATGTTGCTGAGAGTCTTTATAAAAAATGGCTACTGGATTTTGTTGGATGCTTTGTCTGTGTCTATTTATACGATCATGTGATTTTTATGCTTCATATTTTTATGTAATGTATCATGTCTATTAATTTGTAACTATTGTACCAGCCTTGCATTCCTGGAATAAATCCCAAATGGTCATGGTGTATTTTCCTTTTACTGTATTGTTGAATCCTATTTGCTAACATTTAGTTGAGAATTTCAACATCCATAGTCATCAGGAATAGTGACCTATAACTTTTTTTATTTGTGGTGTGTTTATCTGGTTTTAAAATTAGGATAATCCTGGCCTCATAAAAAGAGTATGAAGGTCTTCCTCTTCTTGAAATTTTTGGAATAGTTTGAGGAGGATAGGTTTTAGTTCTTTTTGAATGTTTAGTAAAACTTGCCTATAAATCCATCCAGTCCAGACTTTTATTTGCTGAGAGTTTTGTGATTACTGCTTCAATTTCATCAGTTGTTATAAGCCTCTTCAGATTTTGTGATTCTTCCAGATTGAATTTTGAAAGATTGGATGTTTCCAGAAATTTACCAATTTCATCCAGGTTTTTAGTTGAATGGCATATAGATGTCCACAGTATTTTATTACAACATTTGTGTTTCTGTGATGTTTATTGTTACTTTGCCTCTTTCTTTTATGATTTTATTTATTTGGGTCCTCTGTCTTTGTTTCTGGCTATTGGTTCATCCATCTTGTTTACCGTTTCAAAAAACTAGCTCTAGGTTTTATTGATCTTTTGAATTGTTTTGGGGGTTTTTTAGTCTCTGTGTCATTTATTTCCACTCAGATCTTTATTATTTTCTTCCTTCTGCTTACTCTGAGCCTTTCTTGTTGTCCTCTTTCTATAAATTTCTTTATTGATTAAGGTATCACATATTTGTCCTCAACCCACCATTCCAATCCCCCACCCCTCCCCACTCATGCCCCCACCACCTGATTGTCCTTGACCACTGGTTAGGCTCATATGTATGCACATAAGTGCTTTGGTTGATCTCTCCCTTTTATCCCCACCCTCCCTTTGAGGTCCAACAGTCTGACCCATGGCTCTTTATCTCTGGGTCTGTTCTAGTTCACCAGCCTATGTTGTTCACCATTTCCCCCAGATAAGTGAGATCATGTCCTACTGGAAATATACTTATAAGAATCAAAAAAGAGATAAGCTATAATCGTTATGCAGAAAGGCATATGAATCAGTCTGTTGTGAGTTTCTTTCTGGGCCAACAGTTCTTTTGAGACCCAATTTCAATGTCAAATAGTTCCTTATGTGCACATGTCAGCAATGATATTTCAGTTCTGGATGGTGAACAAATGGCGTTAATGCAGGTCCACAACCTGCAGTGATACACAACTGCTGACTGCTATTATGGTAAGGTCTCATCAGCGATTTCCATCTCTGGACTGCTTCTCTTCTGTCTTCATGGTTGGAGTAGTCCTGTCAATTCTTCTCTGTTGCCAGAATCCACATGGTCTCAGAGTTGTTTTCTAAAAATATACAAACATATTCTCAACCAAAAGTTAATAAAGGAATACTTTCTATAAATTTGACTTGGGATCCTTTTTCATTTTTTCCCAAATAATTTTCCTATGGCTTATTTTGACACCATGTGTGTTTTTCATGGATGTCTTGCTATTAGCATTACAATTAATTTTCCAAAGAACAAATTTTCTAGATGTAATTTACCTACACGATATTTTTTCTTACATGATATTCTTCTACTTTCTCCCGTTTTGATTTAAATATTAGGAGGCTTTTGAAATTTTTATAATGTAGTCTTGATAGCTTTTAAATTGTAATTTTTTGCAGCATAGTATGACTGCTTTAGTTTCATTTTCTGTTGTGAGTTTTTATACTGAGATGAACTATCAATAAAAATTTTAGTTAACGGGGAGGATCCAAGATGGCTGCTCGGGTAGACACCTAACCGCAGCAGCACACAACAATTTCAATGGAATACAACTAAAATGTAGAGTGGACATCGCCCAGAGCTACAGGTAGTCGACTGACTGAAAATTCTATAACAAGAAGGAAAGAGAAAACCAGAAGGAAAATCAGAGAAGCTGAAAAAAAAGCCTAAGGTATGGAGACATGCTGCGCGCTCGCACCCACGCGTGCGCGTGCGGAGAGGTCACAGCCGGAGAGGAGGAGAGGGCTGGGTGCTGCCTGGCGTTTCCTAGCAGGAAGGAAATAAAACCCTCAGCCTGGGCTGAACCCCCGAACCGGCAGCGCTGAGCTCCAGTTATGGGCCAGACCCTGGGGACCCAGGCTCCGGTGGGGGAGATGGGGCTGTGAGGCAGAATCCCAAGCGAGCAGCGAAAAGCAGGGCCCCCTGAGTCGCGCGCACATGGCACGCAGAGGACAGAATGTAGACTCTGATGCTGGATTACCCTAGCCAGAAGGAACAGGGCCTCCGGCAGCGCTAAGCCTCAGTCCGGACTGCTCTGAACCCCAGTCCTGGACCAGACCCTGGGGACCCAGGCTTGGGCAGGGGGAGACGGGGCTGTGAGGCGGAATCCCAGGGGAGTGGCGAAAAGCGAAGCCCCCAGAGTCGCGCGCACTGCGCGCAGAGGACAGTCTGTTGACTCTGATCCTAGACTCCCCTAGCGGGAAGGAGAAAAAAAAAAAAAAGCTCCAGACTGGAGGAATGCGACAGGGAGCAAGTGCCCCTGCCGGACACCAGCCAGCTAGGCGCCAGCACGGAGCCAGGCGACGGGGCCCCCAGG